GACAAAATAGGTAGATTTGTTTGAAGTATTAAAGATATAATATAATTATAATTATATCTATTTGACCAACGGGCTAATCCGTTCCACTGCGGGCTAATCCACTTCCAACCAGAGTATTAAATAATTATGACGATTTTGTTTTTAATATTACTTAGGTCGTAAGAATTTACTAAAGTTATGTAATAAGTACAATTACTAAAAATAAAATAAATAGACTAATTTCAAATATACTAAAATAACAAAATATGTAGATTTATTTGAAAAATTAAAAATATAATATAATTATAATTATATTTATTTGGCCACAGATTAATCCATTTCCAACCCTCATTATGCGTGAGTTGACTCGTTTAGCCCGTATTTTAACGGGCCTAAAATATTAAAATTCAACCCTCTTTAAAACTGGGAGGAGCGGGTCAATCCGACGAACTCAACTCATTTTGACAACTCTGATATTAAATATATTTGATTAAAATTTAATTATTGAAATAATTAAATAATTAATTTGTTGTAAAGCACGAGACGAGACGATACAAATCATCATGGGTATGTTTCTTTTGATGTGTTTGATAAAATTTTGATTTTGTTTTGATATTAAAATAATGTATAATATGATGATATGTGAAAAATAAAAAATATTTTTTTTTTTCGAAAAATGCAAAATCTAAATAAGTAGCAATTGAGGATTTTTGGCAAAAGAAACGAACTCCAAATGTTTTACCGTTTCAGTCAATCTTATGAATATTAGGTGTTATCAAAAAAAAAAAAAATTGACACTTATTTCGATCTAAACAATGTCTGAAGTATAAATTTGACAAAACTCATGCTAATTAGATATTGAAAATATTAAATTAAATTAAATTAAATTAAAAAGAAATGCAAATCTTCTAACACCTAATCTTCATTAAAAAAAAAAGAAAAGAAAAAAAGAAATGCAAATTTTCTAACCTAATATTCATAAAAAAAAAAAAAAAAAAAGGAAAAGAAATGCAAATTTTCTAAATACAATAATTGGTCCAAGTGCTATATTGACCAGGGCTTTGCTACTTTAGGCATTTTTGGGCAAACACGCGAATTGCCTCTAGTTTTTCTTTTACTGTTTTTTTCTTTCTTTTTTTTTTTTAATATAATTTTTATAATTTATATTCTCTCTATATTATTTTACTATAAATATAGCACTTTGAAAAATTATAATAATAAATAATTAAAATTTAATATAAATAATTATAAATTAAAATTAATATAATTAATTAATTTAAATTAAATTAAAAATTATATATCATGAAATTTTAAATGCGATTTAAATATATAATTAATTTTTAAAAACAAAAAAAAACAAATTATGTGAGATTGAAATAAAAATATTGAACACACCGGAAATAGCATAAAAGGTTACTCAAAACTTTTGAAAATAAAAATTAACAAAAATATTACTCGATGGGTTTTTTTTTTTTTTCAATATTTCAAATCAAAATTAATACTCTATTCGTCCAATGGTAATCTTTTCATTTGACTTTTTTACGCGAATTAAGGAAAATTAGTATGTTAGAGATATATAGTATTAAAAATAACGTAATGTCTATTTTACCTTTAAAAAATAATGAAAAAAATAAAAGGTAAAAGTATTTTAGTATTTAATTGAGAGTTATTTTTTCAAAAAAAAAAAAAAAAATGAAAAATTTTGATTTAGATATACTAAAATGAAAAAATGAAAAATTTAGTATTTGACGGATAGAATACTATTTATCATAAATAACTTTTAATAAAATACATTATTTTTTTCAAATATATCAAATCAAAATATTATTTAGATAAAAATTAAAATTAAAATCAAATTTTCAATTTTCAAACCCCAACCAAAATTTAAATCAACTCAAATTTTCAAATTTGTTAAAATATATTTAGAAGCAATATACTCTCTCCGTCCCATTGAAATGTTGTCATTTTTTATTTTCGCCCGTCCTAAGACAAGGTTACTATTTCCTAATTTAGTAATTGTACTACTTATCTAACATAATAAACGCCCTTCCAACTTACAATATATTACACAAATGTCATTACTTTTATATTACATAAATGTCATTACTTTTATATTACACTATACTAATATGGGCATTTTTGTCTTTTTTTTACTATAATTCAATATAATACTAATATTAAAAAATCTACGTGCAAAAAGCAAACGCCACTCTTTCACCAGGACAGAGGGAGTATTATATATATGGTAATTATCTTATTTAAAAGATTCGTAGGATGTTTATCTTATTTAAATAATTTGTATATAATATGTATGTACGTATTCTTACGATTGAAATATAGAATTTCAGTATCAAATTTTAACCCAATTAATTTCAAACTCCAACCAAAACATTTATGTAACATAATGGCTGGTGTCGGTTATTTGTTGCTAAAACAAACTTTTTCTTGTCGCCAAAACATTTAAAATAATTACGACTTTCTAAAAGTCGGTTAACCAAACTATTTACTCAATTAGGTTCGTTATGGCCTTTTTCAGAAACATTCAGATTTAACATAAATTTTGTTCGTTACGCGAGCTACCTTTGCTCTGTTTTTATATTATTATTATTTTAAAAATAATAAATAATAAATAAAAAAACTACTAACCCTAATAAATATAGTATTATATTAAATATTTAGACATATTTATTAAATTGGGTTAACATATGTAACGTGAAAACTCGTAGCTATTATTTTTCACTTTGAATAAATTTGAATGGAATGTAATAATCTGTAAACTAAGTTTGATAAGAGAAGCAATGAACACATTTTTATTAAATTGATATAAATAACTATATATAAATATTTTTATATACTATTATAAAGATTTTATTTTTAAAATAATGGCTCAGTTCACGCAACATTTTTTAATGAAATAATTTTTTATGTGTGGTAACAAAAAGTTGTATAAAAAATATAATGCGGCTAGTAGCCTTTCACAATGCTGGTCTGCCCCGGTTTCCCATTGAGAGGGACTGAAAGACTTGGTTTTGTCAATATTTCATACGTTTCTTAACAATCTGTTTATTTTTTTTATGTTGGTCCATATTATAACAAAGTATTCATTTTTTTTTATAGTAACTGTACTATCTACCTAATATTACATTTACCCTTTCAATTTATAACATATTAAACAAATGTCATTACTTTTATATCATACAATAATTTAATCTTTTTACATTTATTTCTACTACATTTCAATATAATACTAATATTCCTAAAACTCCGTGCAAAAAATAAATGGATAAATAGATATGAGACGGATGGAGTATATATTATTTTAAGCTGAATATTTGATTCTTTGACTTTTTATAATGAATATTTTGACTTTTTACTATTTTGTATAAAATATTTTGTATTATTATTCACTACAAAAAAATATCAATTTTGTAGCAAGATTTTTTCGTTGTTAAATCCACTTTTTCCATTACTAATGATATTAGAGATGGAATTACGTTAATTACGTTAACTTTAGGAACGGAATTCCGTTAAAAATATACTATTTTTTTTGTAGTGATTTTTTTAGAATCGCAATTAAAAAATAGTGTCAAGAGAACAAAGAATATGTATATATTGAATACATTATTATCAAAAAAATAACCATAAAAATATTTGAATGTATATTTAAAATTTATTTTTAATTAAATAAATTTCATCATATTCAAAAATCAATGAAAATATCACTACATTTATCTAAGATTAAAATTTTTCATATGCAAAATAGTATCCAAAATATTGAAATTTGAATTTGTTTGATTTTATTTGAAATCAAAATTTTTATTACTCCTCGTCCTAAACCCTAAACACGAGCTACAAGGGTTTGTTATATTCATATATGGTTTTTATGTATTGATTTTTATCTTTTATTTAGGTAGTTATGATACTCTGTCACATAAGTAGATATTCATTTGTTTTTTATACATAGTTTTAGAAATATTCATATTATATTGGGATATAGTATGAATAAAATAGAAATAACTAAAATAACATTATTAGTATGTGTGATATAAAAGTAATGACATTTGCGTAATATATGGATATTTGTAATGTTAAGTAGATAATACAGTTACTAAAAAATTGAAATAAATACTTTAGTATGTGACGAATTAAAATGGAAAAATAGATATTTTTGTCATGGGATAGAGGGAGTAGTTTTTATAAAATAAAATATACTCCATCCGTCCAATTTCTATTGTCCTAAAGTATATTTGCACCGTTTTTTAGGTGATTATCTTTTGTTATGAATTGAAAAGTTTGTCCTTAATTGTATGATAGATATTAAAAGTAATAAATGAATGAAGGGTAAAAATGTAAAATTTGTATTAAAAAAAATAGAATAATAGTTGTTGAACGGAGGGAGTAATATTTTTTGTACTGTTAATTTTGTATTAAGTATTTGAAGGTTTTTAATGACTTTTTTGACTTTTTGTAGAAAGTATTTTGTATTATTTATTATAATTACAAAATATCGTGCATAATTTATATTTTTATTTTTTAAAAAAAATATCAAAAATATTTTTTCATAAATTTTCGGTAGTTAAAACTTTCTTTTGTCAAATTAATCATTTATTCTTATCCGAATTATTATCTTTTTTTATATTTCTCAACTGAATTTTCTATTTTATAAAACTAAAAACTTAATTTTTATTTTCTACTCAATTTTTTTTTCCCACTAATCTTATTCTATATTTATTTCTCTATAATTTCATTCTCTATATCAAATTTATCTGAGCTCAAAAGGTTTATAGAGTTCAATGGGGACAGATCTGGTAGGATTATCAGCAACCATCCCAAATCTCTTAAAATGGACGGCTCCGATTGGTTTGATGTAGCATGCACAATTAGCCGCAGCCACACAGGATAATTTCCCCATCTAATAACCAGCATATTTATTAATTTGGTAGTATTTATTACGTACACACACATATATATATATATATATATATCAATGAGGACCACGCCGCGCCAATCGCCATTACGAATTTACGATTATCAGACACAGCTTGACCAATTTCAGCTTTTCAGTCCCGTCGCAATTTCGCTACTGCGGTTTGCCGTGTAGATTGTTGTTTCAGTGGAAGCAGGAATTTTCATTTTTTCTTGTGTGTGTTTGGAAGAGGTGGATATGGAGAGGCAAGGACGAGAGGTTTCCATGATGGAGGCAGGCGTTGGGAAGGAGCATGATGCCATTGAAATTCCGCTCACTGCGCATCAGATCAGCAATGGTTAATCTACGAAGCCTTTTTTCTACTTGCAGATTAGTTACTGTTTATTTCTCGATAATAAGTGTATTTTGAACTTCGATGTTCGATGTTTGCGTTTGCTCATTTCTTCTGTGTTATTTGATTTGATTTCGCTTTTTATTTGGTAAAATTTGCCTTCGATTTGAAGAAGTTTTTGGATTCGATTCATTGACTGCATTAACTGATGTATATGCATTGGATTGTTCGTTTTCTGCCTAGCACTTTCACTGCTTTTCCATTCGTTGTTTACTGTGAAAGGAATTCTCTCTCTGTCTCTCCTTTTTGTGGATGAAAACCTAAACGTGTTGGATTCGTGATTTAGGTGTTTACCAAACAACTTTAATGGTGATGTCCCTATTTTATTCAATTTCTGGTAACACTAACGTTTTACACGACACCGTGTAACTGCTTTCCCGACTAAAAAGCCAAGAGCATGTGGGGGAGGATTCAATCCTTTTTGACAAATGAAAATCATGTTTCAATCACAGCGACCTGAATAATGTGAAGAAAAACATTCGAATTCATCAATTTTGGACTAACAAAAGTAGCCTTCCTGGTTTACTAACTGTTGCTGTAATTGTTAATTCAAACATAGATTCGTGGTTTCAAGCTGGATTTGTTCTTACCACCGGGGTAAACAGTGCTTATGTGTTGGGCTATTCTGGTACTATTATGGTTCCGTTGGGTTGGGTGGGTGGTATTGTTGCTCTACTTCTAGCAACAATAGCATCCTTCCATGCCAATGAACTGTTAGCGAAGCTTCACGAACATGGCGGACAGAGGCGTATCAGATACAGAGACCTTGCAGCATCTGTGTATGGTAAGAAAAAGAGCTACCAAAAACAACACTAGAATTCATAATTACTTGCTGGTGAGTGAGGATGTTTATGTTTTCTGCACAGGTGAAAGAGCTTATTTGATTACTTGGGGAATGCAATATGTGAATCTGTTTATGATCAATGTAGGATTCATGATCATAGCAGGAAATTCTCTCAAGGTACATTGCAGGCTTTTTCTTTCAACTTGGGATGTGTTTACTATTGTGTTAATTCTTGTATTTGGTTGCAGGCTGTGTATGATCTTTTCAGAGATGACCACACAATGAAGCTTCCGCACTTCATTGCTATAGCCGCCATTGCGTTTGCTCTCTTCGCCATTTCCATACCACATTTGTCGGCACTGCGCATTTGGCTTGGATTTTCGACATTCTTTACTTTGATCTACATTGTTGTTGGATGTGCTCTGTCGCTTAAAGATGGTTACAATTTTCGACCTATCCTAATTCGATCCTCTGCAATTTTTGAGGGTTTGTAATTTTTTTCGCCATTTTTGCAGGCGTGGAAGCTCCTCCAAGAAATTACAGCATCCCCGGAACAAAAGCAACCCAAGTTTTCAAAATCCTCGGCGCCATCGCCAATTCGGTTTTCTCCTTCAACACGGGCATGCTTCCCGAAATACAGGTGCCTTACTGTTTATTACATCCGAAGGATCGAATCTACGAACATAATATTTCATTCCTTTACAGGCAACAGTGAGACAACCAGCCATTAAAAACATGATGAAAGGTCTGTTCTTCCAATTCACGGTGGGACTGGTGCCGATGTACACGATCATCTTCGCCGGATATTGGGCTTACGGCGCCCACACATCCGAATACTTGCTCCACAACGTTCACGGCCCGATCTGGCTAAAAGTTGCAGCCAACATCTCGACCTTCTTGCAGACCGTCATCGCTGTACATGTAATGCCCGATAAACAATCCATTCCACTCTAATTTTCTTACCATCTACATACCATACTAACTCGATCATTGTCAGATATTCGCGAGCCCTATGTACGAGTACTTGGACACCAAGTATGGCATCAAAGGCAGCTCCCTAGCGTTGCGCAGCCTGTTCTTCAGAGCAGGGGTGCGCGGCGGCTACATCGCCCTGACGTCGCTGGTGTCGGCGATGCTGCCGTTCCTCGGCGACTTCATGAGCCTGACGGGGGCGCTGAGCACGTACCCGCTGACGTTCATTTTGGCGCATCACATGTATTTGGTAGCTAAGAGGGACAAGCTAAGGTTTGTGCAGAAATGGTGGCATTGGCTCAACATCTTCGTCTTCAGCTGCTTCGCCGTCGCCGCCGCGGCTTCCGCCGTCAGATTCATCGTCGTCGATTCCGGTACGTACCATCTTTTCGCGGATGTGTGAATCGAATTAATAATATATTAGGATTGTTCATCGTATAAAAAATGAAATAAGAATAAGAATAGAATGTTGTGGTGGTTGTCTTGGCTGGAGGGAAGTTTTAAGTTTTATCCCTTTGACCAAATATATGTCTGATTAATTTATGCAATGTATGGAGAAGTGCAGACGATTATTGACTATAGTTTGGGCTTTTTATTACCAAATATCTTGTGTGATGGGTTGGGTTACTGCTTTTTATTTTATTTTATTTTTTCAAATTTCCATTATAATTTTATTATCTTTTTTAATTTGAATTGGAACCGTCAACCACTTGTAATTAAAATTTCAATTTGAATCACAAATATTCAAATAGCTTCTTTTAACACTCATTGTAGTATAAAATCTTATATTTATTACTTTACAATTTTATAAAAAAATCATAAAAATTATTCACTAAAATTCATTTTCCTTTGAAATTGTTGTACAATCTATTTATTTCTGGCGACAATTGCGGAATTGTCACAAATGTAGTTCAGGACCGTGTTTTTCGTGCTAATTACGATTGTCGCAGAAGACTATGACAAATTGTTACGGAAAGTTGCAACAATATTAATATTCTTTGTCGCGTCTTTTTGCAACAATATAAGTATACATTTTCGCAGCATTTTGCAACAATGAAATAATAATTGTTGCAATTTTTGTTGCAATTTTTCGCAACGATGAAAAAATAATTATCGCAACATTTATCGGAACCTTCCACAACGATTAAATAGTAATTGTCGCAAAGCAATGTAATTGTCACAATTTTTTTTTTATAATTATTAAAAATTATTTCTTACGATTTTATGAAATTATAATATAAAATAGTTTAGAGCAATCTAACGATCATATAATCAAATATTATTGATGTCAATCAAGCAAACCACATAAATATTATTTCTACACACGTGACGGGCAAATCCGTTGAGGATGTTTGAATAAACGAAGTCCGCTCCAAGGTGGGGACCACCACTGAATCAATCTTACATCTGAATTTCAATTTCATCTGCATTTCACTCGAATCTACATTTACATCTCAAAACACTGAGTCAGCGCTCAAGACACTCAAGCAGTGTGAGAGGGCACTGCGTTGAACCCCCCAGTTTTGACCATTGACTTTTGACTCGTCCTCAAACTTTTCTTTTTGCAATAAAATACTTCCTTCCGTTCAGATAAAATTAGATATGGAATTTTAGATAAAATATAAATAATTAAAATATATATTAATAAAAATAATTATAAATTAAAATTAAAATAATTAAATAATTAAATAAAATTAAAAAACTTATATTTAAATTTTAAAATATAATTAAAATATATATTCCTTTATAAAATATTTATTTTTTTAGTAACTGTGTTATCCTAACATTACAAATATCCTTACGTCATTATATTTATATCACACATATTAATACTAATAAAGTTATTTTAGTTATTTCTACTTTATTTTTATTATATCTCAATATAATATTAATATTTCTAAAATTATGTGAAAAAACAAATGAATATTTAATTTCGAAACGAAAGGAGGAATTAATTTTTTTAAAAAATATTATAGAAACATGACGAAAGAATAAATAAATACTATTTTCTTTTGAAATAGCCAAAAATTTCTTAAAGACGCGATAAGAAAAGTCACACTTTCCTCCCACCTTCCTCCCAATACTCCTCAGGCCTTTTGCAATTATATATATATATATATATATCTTATCCTCACAGCTCAAATTAAATCCCAATCATTTGTTGCAATTAAGTTTCAATCCAAACCCTTCCCTTACAGTCTTTCTTGAGAAAGTCTTGTGTCAGGTTTCTTGCTGTAATTATTTTCAAAACTTGGTTGAAAGTTTGGGACAAAGGATTTGGATTTATGGGCAATTAGTTTGTCTGAATATCGAATCTTTCTTATTTAGGGTTTAATTGGGTATTTTTTTTGAGTTTGATTCGGCAATGGAAGGTGGAAAGCACTGCTCGAAGCTTCTAGAATTGGCTGCCGCAGATGACTTGTCTGCCTTCGTTGATCAAGTGGAGAAGAAGGGTTCCGCCATTGATGACGTCAGCTTCTGGTACAGCAGGAGCTTCTGCTCCAACAAGATGACCTTCCAACATCGTACTCCGCTAATGATCGCCGCCCTCTTCGGAAGCTCCGACGTCCTCAACTACATCCTAAAATCCGGCAACGTCGACGTCAATCGCGCCTCCGCCACCGACGGCGCCACCGCCCTTCACTGCGCCGCCGCCGGCGGATCACCGCCGTCTGTAGAAATCTCCCGCCTCCTAATCGCCGCCTCCGGCGACGTCAACGCCGTCAGCGTCGGCGGCAAGAAACCGGCCGATTTAATCCCCCCCGCAGTCAGATCCTCCCCTGGCCCCAAACGGAGAGCCCTGGAGCTCCTCCTCAACGGCCGCGCCGGCCCACCGGAATCTGAAACGCCGGCGCCGGCAAAACGGGAATATCTCACCGACGTGGCGTTGCCGGACATTAACGCCGGAATTTACAGCTCCGACGAGTTCCGAATGTATAATTTCAAAGTCAACCCTTGCTCGAGGGCCTATCCCCACGACTGGACCGACTGCCCGTTCGTCCACCCCGGCGAGAATGCCCGCCGCCGGGACCCGAGAAAATACACTTACACCTGCGTCCCCTGCCCGGAGTTCAAAAAGAGCGGCGGCGCGTGCGGAAAGGCCGACGCGTGCGAGTACGCGCACGGCGTCTTCGAGTCGTGGCTCCACCCGGCGCAGTACCGCACGCGCCTCTGCAAGGACGACGCCGCCTGCGCGCGTAAAGTCTGTTTCTTTGCCCACAAGCCGGCCGAGCTCCGGCCGCTCTACGCCGCCACCGGCTCCGCCATTTCCGACGACCTAACAACGCCGATATCGCCTCCCCTGCATTTTCCGGCCGGCCGCCGGCCGAAGGCGGCGCGTCCGCCGGTGATCGAGGAGACGGCGAGCCTGTCGAACCTAGACGACATTTTTCCGGTCCGGCAGCTTCGCGCGAGCTACCCGTCGCCGACGATGAACCGTAGCCAGAGCTTTGCAGACCGGAGTCCGGCGACCTATCGGACGGCGGGGAATTATCCGGGCGTGATCGGATCGAAGCTTGCGGAATGGAGCTCACCGGACGGGAAGGTCGATTGGGGTTTTAACGACGAGGTTGCGAGTAAGCTTAGGAAGTCGATGTCGTTCGGGATCCGAAGCGGCAATGTGGCTCCGGCAGTGGCGGTGGCGCCGCCGGGCGGCGACAGGGGGCGGTGGCCGGTGGGCGGGGGGGCGAGGTGGATTGAGCAAATGTACATAGAGCAAGAACAGATGGTGGCTTGAGAAGAGTGATGAAAATATGTATTGAAGACTTGGATAAGTGATTGTTTGTGAAGGAAACAGATCAGTTTCTAGGCTGTAGGACTGCTTGATCATGAAAATATTATTTTATTTTATTTTTATTTATTTTGTAAGGTTTCAAATCAATTTCTGTCGTTTGTTAAGGAAACAATCGATAAAATAAATGAGTTTCGAGGATTAATAGGGCAACTTTTCGAACTGCCTGCTGAGTCCATGGGTTCACATTTTTTTAAGGATCAAGATCAAACCTTATTCTCGAATGCAGCATACAATTCTCCGTTGCACTGCGCTCTCCAAGTGTGCTTGTTCCCCCCTTCTTTCTTACCCGATGCCACGGAATGGTCGGGATAGCTCAGCTGGGAAATATCATTGCTATTACTCAAACAAGCATGTATCATTTCTAATACATCGGTGAGGCATGCTCGGATACACATACACCTTGATAAATTCATACTTCGAAACCCAAAGGTCCAGCGTATTCGGGTCAAATACCAGGCCTATACGGTCCTGAACCCTGAACCATTCTCTTTGAAGCTCATCCCCACGAGAAAGTGCCAAACCATTTTACCATTCCAATATGTAAGATCTATGAGACATCTCATAAAAGCGGTTGCGGAATGAAATTTTCGAAGAAAATGAAGAAGACGTCTAAATTATAGTTGTTGTGTGTGCTCTTAATCCATTGAAGAATCCACCGTTATGATGTAATGCCACCACATCAACCAAATAATAAAAGAATAAAATAAAAATTGAGGAACTATTTCTCTATACAAGAACGACAATCTTTTCTTTTATTCGTTTAAATAAGTATTTTCTGGTTATAAATTGACAATTTTATTCTTTGTGGTAATATAGAGAAAATATGCTCAAATAAAAATGATAAATGAATAAAGCTAAAAAAATAAATTTTTTATATAAAAATATAAATAAGACAATAGTTATCGGACATTCCAAATAAAAAATTATGACATTAGTTTATAAATGGATGAGGTATTATTTAATATAAATACTATACTAAGAATTCTATTTAATATGATAAATTAGTTTAATAATAATTTTGTTATATGAAATAATTAATATTTCCTCCGTCTCAATTTAAATGGATTTTTTTGGAGTTTTGTATTAATTTAAAAATAATATTTTCTCTATCCCAACTCAAAGTACCATTTTCATTCATCTCACTTTAAATATCTCTTTCATATTTTATTAAAAGTAATTATATACTAATATCAAAATACTTTTAATGGTCTATTCACGGCTGTGCACAGACCGTGTAATTATCGATTTTTTTTTTTAAAAAAAAAACAATTGTTATGCTTCAGACTGTCGGTGAAAAAAGAGATACGAGGGGTTTGGGGGAAATTCACTGTGCATTACTGCACAGTAAATTTTTTCAAATCTCCCTAGGAGAAACACACCCTTAGTTTTTTTAATAATTTGTTTGTTTTTCCGTTGGAAATCACTTTGTGAGTCAGGTGGAAGCTGTAAAAGAGGATATGTGTTTGGTTTCATCTAATTTAGAATGAAAAAAATATTATTTTCGTCCCAAATCAAAATATTTTTTTTACTATTATTGTCTGTCTCACTTTAAAATGATATCTTTATCATATTGTTGGCATCTCATTTGTCTATTTTTTCTCTTACCATGATCCACAATATGATATTTTGTGTCAAATTTATCTTACATAACATTCTCATGTATGAACAAATGATCTCACTAATTGTTTCAGTAATATTGATTAATAAACACCAATATTCGATAAAATAACAATACCTATTCAACCCAAAACCATCTCATAGTCATAATCAATGAAACATTTTTTATAATAGCTTAAGTACCCATATTTATCAAATTGATATCCACATAGCAATATAAATACTTCTATACACAACGATAAAGCTTGTTTATTAGATAAATATACATTGGGTCACACTCAATATACTTCAAACACAACTTCATACTCTTAAAGTAAATGTAAGAATTTCATATAAAAGTTTAAATACCTATATTAATCAATGTAGTTTTTGTTAATATAAATTTAAGTAAACGACTGCAATATTCTATAGGTCATATAATCAATAATCATGGTTCACATGTACGCATCAATGATTAATATGTTCCTTAAATTGTAGGTCAAATATGACTTATGCTTAACATTTATTCCACATACCTTCAAACACTTTTTTTGTTTTTTTGCTTGGACATTCCTCATACTTTGAAAAATACTTGTAAAAAAATCACAATACATAGAACATCATATGTCATCAATTATGCACCAACTTTAGAATATCTATTACTATGATTCACCATGTGATATGTAAAGTCGTGTCTATTCTAAGTGATATTCGCATCCACCATTTAATACATGGATAAGTGATCTCACAAATTGTTTCATAAGTATCCGTTGATGCACGTTAACTTCCGACAAGAAATGTGTGATATAATCAATTCGAAGTTGTTTGATCCATTAACAATTAATAACCAGGGGCAGACGTATTAAGCGGCAGGGCTGCAGCCCTTCCCCACCCCACCCCACCCTTTTATTGTTTACTTAGTTACTTAAAATATCCATTTCATTGTTTAATTACTAATTTAAAAAACTTATATATCTATATACTAAAAATTAATTTTACATTCAAAATATCACATAAACACCTATTTATATCACATTATACAACTATTTCAAGATACTTAAAAACCATTATTTACAATAACGTGTAACGTATTTTCATTTTGAATTCATATACCCTTATTTTTACTTTGGAAGAATTAATTTAGATAATATGTACCACAATATAATAACTGTGTACATCAAGTAACATATAATTTAGATTAATTTTCCAAAAGAAAAAAAAAAAAATTACAGTCACGAGAAACACATACCTACAATAAAGTCTCATTACAAATTCGTTGATGTGTGTCCTAGACAACCATAACGATACTCGTTCATCAAAGACATCACTTGTTGCCAAATGAATTCAAGCATCTCGAAAAAAAACAATGACCTTATTGAGCGCATCATATTATTCCACGACTCGACTATATTGTTATTATTATCCCACAATGAGTCCATTCAAATAGATAATTCGCCCAATACTAGAGCTGTGATTGTGTAATGAAATTTCAGAGAAGTGGCATGGCCTCCGCCAGAGCCTTTATATGCTGCTCAAAATTCTTCTATAAAGGAGCATAACTGGTTTTGTTGAAAATGAAAATCTATCATTTCTTGTTGTGCATCGGATATCTTCATATTATCTATATGAAATGTAATTACGTTGTTGTATATATTATAATAAATAAAAAATATATTCTACACATACCTGAGTGTGAAAGTTGACCACTAGGTACTGAGGAAAGTATCTGTGGTAGGCTTTGACGGAATACGACGGAAATGGATTTTAGAAGTCCCGAATATCTATTCGAAAAAATGTATTTTTGTCAATTATAAATCATCGACATGAAGAACAAATCTTAACTTCCAAAACTATTCTGAAATTTTATCATTTTTTGTAGACACCGTTGCATAAACATACGATTTTAACATTATTCAATATACAAAGTATATAAAATAAATACCAAGGTTAATAGATGAATAGTCATAGTATATATCAATAAAACCAGGGCATTTTCAAACAAATACAACTTAGAATATCATACAACAAAGGTACATTATTAGTAAATATAAGTATACTACATCAGAAGAAAGTATCTCGGAAAATGTCTGCGCATACTAGTAAAAAATTGAAACAATCCACTCTTCCCCCCACCAAGATTTTCTTCTATACATACCATCCCAACGAAAGGTCCTAATGAAACTCATTTAGCAACTACTGTAATCATAATTGCGAATAGGGAAACAATTACCAAAATAATAGTAAACTATTTACCAAAATCAGTTGCGAGCCCTAACAATACCGCCGTATTCAACCAAAAAAATTACAGTAAGAGAACATTCAGAATTGAAATTTTTCCTTACCAGTGTCTTTTCTCGCGAAATAAACCTGAAAATTAGAAATTGGATTTGGAATCGAAATTTCCCCTTACTAGTGTCTTCGGCATGCGCAAATGAACCTGCATGTTAGACAGAAACACTACGTCGCAAATATCATAACTGATAAAATAGATTTTGGGGGTGAAGAATGACAATTTTAAAATTGACATTAGGGCAGGGAATTAATACCAATATTTTTTTAAAAATGAGAAGTGCAGTGTATACAAAAAAGGGGTATAGGTACTGAACTTAAATATCAAAATACCAATGAGAATTTAAATTAAATTTTATGTTTTAAAAATCCTCTCTTCTACCTTTTTTTTATTTTTATGTTTTTTTTTTTTTTTTCACAAGCATCTCCAATTTAAAAAGTATTTTTAAAACTCTAAATTCTTCTTTTACTTTTGATATAAGAAAAAAAAAAGAAAAAAAAAAACCAATTCAAACATGTCCAAATCCAAAATGTATTTTCCTTTTTAGAAGTCACAATGTAACATCTATGCTATTTTTAGATCAAAGTACATTAACAAATCCCATAAATGATGTGATATATATATATCTATATATATATTATACATGCCTTGTTCATCTTCAAACAAGAATGCACATATTCTCGAGTGTTGCAGCAAAACTCACCAAAACATAGTCCCAAGAGGAGCTAAGGTTCGCCGGGATGCTCGTCCCATCTCGACCGTCGTATTCTCTTCCCTTGAGCCGCAAACGACACTCTCTTGGGCTGCTGCTGCTGCTGCTGTTGCTGTTGCTGCGGCAGGGTTGGCTTCTCCTGGAATGATCCGGTTGCCGGCTGAAAAAATATAAACTCGCCAAGATCCTCTTCGTTGCTCTCGATCCATCCATAGCAGTGCGTGTGTTTTCGCGGTGGGAGACTCTTAGCCAGCACCGGCGAAGAAATGTTACCCACGGGGGGTGAAGTCGGGGTTGGATTTTCACTCAGAGTAACTATTGTGGTATCAGGAGGAGCAATTGCAGCTGGATCGGTATCTTCTCCAGAGGGTAGCTGTAGAATCGTGTCTTCCATTGCATGTTCGGATGCGCAGAGTGGCTGGACATCGTGCGCTGCATTGGTAATTCGATGGTTATAACTGAGATAAAGATCTTGAAGAGGTTTGAGGCTATTGTTGATTGAAGATACCTGATGAAAATTCCAGGTGCAAAGGCAGCTCTGCAACTGTGGAAAAGGACTCGGAAGTATCAGCTGGAGGGTTGTGTTCTTCGGGTCTTTCGTCTTGCTGCATGTCCGAAACTGTGCTGGATGTCCCGGCAGCTGTATCGTCCTCAGTAGACTTTTCCTGAATGAATGCAATGTTTTATCACTAAAACCAAGCATCGAATATAAATATAAGCTCGATAAATACATAATTCGGATATACTGTTTTAGAGACTCGTAATTTTGTATTAAAATTCACAATGTGAGTCACAGCATCTATCAAGAAACAAAGAGAAAAGACGGTACATGATACAAACAATTCATGGCTGTTTACTTACTATGTTTAATTTAATGGGAATCGATTTATAGCGCAAAATAATCATAATACAAATAGAAATGTATTCATATGGCAATGCCCAAATAAATTCAGAGAAATGCTGGGAATTTCAAGAACCAAAAGGTTTATTACAGGACAGAAAGTTCACTTATTCTTTCACATGTGCATTTCCACAAAATAGTCTATTACTATGTTTTTAGATGTTTGCTTTAGAATAATAAAGAATGTAGTACACTACATCCTATAGCCTACTGAAAGACTAAGAAAGGGTGTGTCGAAACAAAACTCAACCATAGCATTCAAACATGCGTAAATCATGAATTTGGCATGGTGAGCAACTAATATTATCTCATCCTTACTGAAGTAATGAGGTCAAAAAAACAAAAGAGCAATAGAAAGTTTGATTGCAAGATACCTAGTGATATGTCTCAAGTTGTCCCGAGATCTAATGACTGGATGCGAAATGATTATTGAATCACAGAATAAAAGAAAAATTGCATGCATCAAACGTGTACAAAGCAGAGACGTATGTTTTCTTCTGCAATGGAAAACAGTTTCTTGATTGCCGGAGTTCAAAGCAAGATATAAGAATTGTTGGGGATTAACATGATAACATCTTGTGTTCCATAGCTTTATCAAATGCCAAGAATGATTAAAGAACCCCCACATAGATGGTGATGATGATGGTATTTGTTGCATAAGCTAATGAAAAGTTAATATTCTAAAATTAAAATATTAATAATTCTATGTTGCAGGTGCTCCTGTTCTAAGTGATAGGCTTGTCTAGTATAGTCTTTTGGACATATATGGAGCCAAGGGTGAGAACTATGAAGTGAAATATGCAAGGTCATTTGTAAAGGGGAGCTGGCCTATACTCGAGTGGAAATTCTTAACAGTTAAGTTTTTCTGAAATTTTAAAATTTTTCATATGCTATGTTGGATGTTTGGAGCCTATGCTAAATGTCTATTCTGTAATATTTATGATGCTAATAACCTCAAGGATTTTTCAGTTTAGCAGTAAATGTCACATAATACAACAAAAGAGGATAAGTGTAGTCTTGCATTGTGTGACCGATTATGAATTATGAGGATGTTCAATATCTTTAGATTATCACATGGCACTAACAAGCATATTCTTGTGAAGTTCAGTGGTGTAAATTTCTAGTCTTAGGTATCCTTTATCTTTCTGATTCTCAGAAATTTGGCTTATCAGTTTGGCCAAGTGTAGTTCATGACTGCCAAAACGAGGGAATTGTTTAATCACGAATTGTGCATGGTGAACGCCAAACTAATGTTACCAACTTACCATGGAGTTATACTGACAGAAAAAAAACTCTCAAGTAACCTTTCTGGAGTTGTTGAAATCAGTCAGAGAAAATATGACAAAAATTTTGAATCTTTTAACATGTATCCTTGACCATCATCAATTAAAATGTAGCAGGGAGATGTAATCCAAGTTATCTATATTGCATTAGTACAAATCAATTACATTGATGGACATTCATTGATCAGATTCTTGCCTACAACTAATGGCTGGACAGGGAGTTGTAAAGGGAAAAAAAAGAAAAAACAAAACAAAGAATATTGTTGAAATATTAAATTTCACTGGAGAAGACTGAACAAGAAAGAACTTTTGCAGTAGAAAGGGGCATACAATTGAGAGTTGAGAGACTAAAATGAAGAAACATGCCTTAAAGAGAACAACAAAAGACAACAGGAGGCCATGTCCTCGGGTGTGATTTGTTGTTTTTGAAAGACTGGTGCTTTTTAAAACCTGTTACCATGATGTGTAAGGTTTGAGTTGGCTGGGTAGCCTCCTCATATATAATACTAAACTAGGTTAATAATTGACTAATCTTGAATTTAAGTCTCTATAAGTATTGTCTCTAATTCATCTCCACACATAAATTACTACCAATATATTTACTTACGCTTTTAATTTTGTTTTCGCATTATTCTGAAAATATTATACACTAAAAACATCACATCAAACACCTATTGTATATTCCAAACATCACATCCAGCACCTACTGGATTGGTATCACATCTGCAACCTATTTATTTTTACTTCCCAAAACAATACAACACATCAAAAAACCAAAGCATTTCCGAAACACATATAAACAATCTATCCAAACATAACACACCAATTGCCGTGTTACCTCGATCAAAATACTTCCTAAAAGAATGGAACTTCCATGTAGATTTTAAAATAACCAACACACAACTTTAATATGAATGGCAATCACTCAGCTTGGCACTTCCCTATAAACTTTATAAATTAAATGGTTTCCATAGCTAAGATGTAACCTTCTGTCACAATTCAAAGGTCACAAAATCAATGACCATCTTATGCATATCAGATATTGAAAGTGGTCGAATTAATGAAGGTACAGCAATCAAGAAGCATAAGTCACAAAGTGTCATTCTAGCTCACAGCAAGGATTATTAACCATACCTTCTCACTGTAGCCAATTTGCGCGGGGTTCTCTTGATTATCCTCTTCGTCAACACGAAGCAAGGACTCAAGCAGCTCCTTATATCCACATTCCTCAATGAAAGGCCATCCATCATCTCCGCCATATACCTTGTTTCAGGAGAGTTATTCAAACCAGTTAGCACACTCATATTGCACAAAACATTATCTTCATGTACCATAAAGGAAAAAGGATTGATATTTTGAATATATATGATAAAAATGTTCCGAAACTCTCGAGCTTTAGAACAATGAGTCCCATTTCTCCATAAAATTATTTTCTTTTGCAAGGGAATACAATGTCAAATCAGCATTAGGAATTTTTATGATTAGTTTACTAAAAACGTTCTTTTTGGAACCCATTTCAAACGCATTATCAAATTAAAGGCTATCTGAAGCTATGAACAAATATATAATGAATATTTCATAGCCCAGAAATAAACTCCCAAAAAAGTGTGACACTGGCCACAAGGAAAGTCTCACAATTTGTCCACAAACTCAACTCTCTAACAGTTATCTGTATAATCACAAACAAGAGAAAAAAGGTAAAAGAAAAACAGAACAAATATCTACGTAACAAAAACCCAAATGCAAACCACGAATAATCTGCCGTATCATCTTCATTAACTGATAATCATCGAAAAAAAAGAAAATCACAATCCAGAAATGTTAGTGGTAAAAAAGACTATCAAGTTTACCCTAAGAAGCTGCGTGACGTGCTTCTTAACTTGAGCTTTCGTGAAGCCTAACTGCGCCATGGCATCAACCGCCGCGTCCATTCGCGACAATCGCTGCTTCAAAAACCAGGATCATCAAAGTACCGCAAAAAGATTCAAAAAATTTAGGAAAACCACGGAAGTAGGAGGCAAACAAAAACAAACAAACAAACAATCTAGAACTGCAATTGCAGATTACCCAAAACGAAAAAAAGAAAACTAACGAGAATCTAAAAAATCACACGAAACCTTTCTCTGTCTGCCTCTTCTCATCTTGGACGATTCTCCAGCACAGCGCGCAGTGTGGAATCAATCGAAGAACGCGATGATTCGCTTAGATGGCAAGAAAAGGGAGGAGGGGATGGACTGGCAAGGCAAGGCATACACTAACCAGCAGTCCACTGTATTGCATGATTTTCGGAATATGTGTGAGCCAATGATTCTATGACACGTGTCACTTTCTTATTGGTGAGAAACTTGAAGCGTTTTGACTGTGGGCCCGACATTCGCAGGTGTTGTATTTTGTGGAACGAGACTTGTACGTTTGAAATATATATTTTTTGGGAATAATTAGCTTTAAATTAATTTTATTTCTTTCCTTAAACATACACCCAATAAGGCAATAACGTGTAAATTTATAAAAATAGTAAAAATAATTTAATATATGTATATATAGATAGATAACTCCCACCCGGACTACATGGAAGTTATATATTAGTTCGTCCACTGGTCGCCCCACTCCCCTCTATTTTCAGGAGCATTTATTTTATATTGGTATTTTGATATCTAAATAAAGTGTTTTGATTTTTATTTTTTTTATATACATAAAGTATAAAGAGTTATGTGGATAATAAAAAGAATATTTTTTCTATTTTAATAAGTAGATTAGAAATAATAAATAGTATTTTATTGGTTTGTGAAAATATGTAAAAAAAATTTATAGTTTTTTTCCTTTGACTTTATGTAAAGTAATTGTATGTGTAATGGTATAATCTGTAATTTAAGTAAAAATTAAAAATATTTTAATATTAATATATGAATTTTTTTATTTCTTTTAAATAAGAAATTAATATTTTGAAATGAAACAAATGAAAATAGTAAAAATAATACTTTAAATTGGGATAGATGGAATAATATTTTATATTGAATGTTGAGTTTGTGAGAAAATAAAATATATAGTGAAAATCGTGTCGAAAAAAAAAAATTGGATGAACAAAATAATTAGATATGATTTTCATATAAAAAATTTGTAACTTTTTACAAAAATTGAGATGTCATGTATTTTTAAGGTAAGTTATTGTATTCTGAAATTTCGATAGATTTCTCTCAATTTATTGATACCAATCAGATTTTCCAAAAAAAAATCTCTCTTTTTATCTTGAAAGTGCAAACAACTCAAGGATAAAGTGGAATTTCGGCAACAATTTTTGGCACGGAAACAGATTCCAAAAGATACTTCTTGATAAATTTTGAGGATCAAATAATCGTTACGTTGGGTTAAAAAGTAGTAAATAATGACACAGAATATGGAGACCCAATTCGATCACAATCGGATTTATGTCTGGTGGATTTTCATCCACAAAAAAACACGTCACTATAACGGTTATGTACATGATAAATAGTCATTACTCCAAATTGCAACAAATTCTAACTATATATATCTACCCTTGCACCAAAGGTAATCTATCAACATGAACTAGGCATAAAGACCAAACACCTTTGGGCACAGATAATGGCTAAATAATTGACTATATATGATGTAAACCAAACCACAACAGCAAAACATAACAACAATCATTCATGAGTAGGACTTGACATATTTAATATATATATATATATTTGTGCAGATTGGATAATAATGATCACGTTATAATAATTGATAGCCCTCAATCTCTTAAATTATGGGATTTCAGGTATGTAATGACTAGCTATCCTTATACGATGCTTGCATAATACTTTTCAATATTTTCTGGGTGTTCTTTTTTATGAAATTTGTATATTGTAAATGGTGATTCTATATTCTAGAATTTTATTTTCTTCTTATCTTCTTCTTGTTGTTGACATTTTAGATATATCACAATAATAGACGAAACTCTATCCAAATTTTTAATAACGTATTCATATCTTTGTCTGAACAAGCCTATGAACAAATCAACCTTTGGTATTCTTTGTTTGATCGAACAATTGATTTGAGTATCTTGTTCACTTGTTTGTTCGAATACATAATATAAAATATGTAACAATCTCCCTCTTTTTGCTCAATGTTTGGAGCACAATACTAAATAAAATTTGATTCGAAACACAATTACAATAATTACCCTTGCATGAACCTCCACCAATTTAAAAAACCAAAAGTGAAATTCATATCCAAAAATATCAGTAGCAACAACATCAATAATACTATCTCTTTGTGCAACAGTCAAAATGCAAAAATAACTTACATAAGCAGAACCAAAAAACTCCCTCTCAAGACGTTCGTGAACAACCACCATCAAAGAGGAAAATATTTAAATATTTTTTGTCATGTCGAAAACCCTTAACTTGATTGATATTCACTAAAATCAACACAATCAATTGCAACTAATACCAAACAATCCAACCCCGAAATCCTCAAATATCTCCTAATGAAAAAAAAAAAAGAAAGTTATATTCCGATCGTTGAATAAAAAACAAATCAAAATTGGTGTAAGAAAGTTACATATCAAACTCAGTAGCTTGCTCCACAAATAAACCCTAAAAAAGAGAAAGCAATCATACGATTAATACAAGCCACTAGTTTGTTCATATGATTGAGAATGGTTTGAGAATAATGAGAAAGAAAGTGCTGATCCACACCGAATCAAGATGGGAAAGACCTAAAAACCTTACCTCAACGCTGGCGTCGGAGTAGGTTGTCACCGATCAAACGCCTTCAACGATGGAAGTTGCGGACGACGCAGGGAGAAAAGTCATTCATCATGAAATAGTGAAAGCGTGTATATGTTTTATTGTTTTTTTAAAAAATGTTTAAACCTTCATTGTAAAATAAAAATAAAAGAATTAAAATACCATTTCTTACGCAAATTTGCATAACTTATATTATTTTGACTAGATTTTACCATGTTCGTAATTGCTATGGAAAAATTTTTGTAACCACTAAACTTCAAACGTTGACCACCAAAAAATTCTTTTGTTATGCATTTTGTCGTAACCAAAATATACATTTGTTACGATGCTTTTGTTACGGCCCCTAACTACATAGTGACTGCCCTTATTTTGGTAATGTGTACACTTTTAGTACAATTCCTTGCAAGAATAGCTTTTGTTTCCTCAAATTTTGCGTGTTTAGTTAATTCATATACTTAAAATCTCATTTAGAAATTTGGTTGTACATTTGAAATTCGGGGAGGTGTGTGGGAAGTAGCCTACGCTTGGAGAGACACTTGTTTTTTAGTGTTTTATTTCATCGTCGTTCAATTGCCTTCATCGTCACCCATCACCCTACCCATCATCATCCTATTTTTCGGCGGATCGTCGTGTTTAATGCCTTCGTTGAGAACTATAAATACAGTATAAGCAAAGAAGTATTTGAGTACGAGAATGAATTGACTATTATTTTACTTTCTAGTTTGCATTATAGGGCAAGTAGTGAATTTTGGTTTATATTTCAATACATATAATTTGTATTGATTTTTTTTCAACAATTTTAGAACATTATTACAATTTTTTATATATCTATTGATTATCATCATCTCAATGAAAAATTACTTATCGAGAAATAAAAATTTTCTTAGAGCTATCACATATATGTTTTTGCTCAAATGACCTAAAATGTGTGTATATGATCGATGTGAAGAAGAAACCTTCATTCGTGAAGAAAGAATATGAAATGAGATGACTAAAATGCAAAAATGAAAATTTTCTTACATTCTGGATTTTCTTTCATTAAGTTCTATAATCATCTTTCATCCGTCTCTCTTTATCGGAAGCAACATCTGGTATGAGAGCCATTTATTTTCATCATCATTAAACAACAAAACTTAAAATTCTTCCACCAAAATGAGTGACGAAATGAGACTAATGCAAATTCCAAAATTTGATGAACATTATAACCACTTGAGTGAACTAATGGAAAATCTTCTTAGGGAAAAAAAATTGTGAGGTTTAATTTAAGATAGATACACTAAACCACATGAGAGAGTCGAAATGTCTGAACAACGGGAAACGAACTACATTATGCAACTTTATTGACATAAATTAATTATTTAATTTTTTTATATATATTTTTTAAAAACATATTAAAATCATCACTACTCTTTATACAACTATTTATGTTGTTTGATTTATTAAGTCATTGTAGTTTTCAAAGTTGTAATATTACGTACTTGTTTTTCTTTTTTAAGTTTTTACAATTTGATAGGTCATCAAGACTTTCGTTTTTTTATTACAAACAATACATATATGTGTAATTTTTTTTTTACATTTATTTTTTAATGTTGCTTTTGTTAAATATAGAGCTATTTTATTGTCTCCACTATATGGAAGGATTTTTTTATATATATTGAAATATATTTATCCTTTCATAAATTGAATTCTCGATAACTTAGAACATTTCATATAGGATAGATGAGCTGAGTGATATATTTTTTCTTTCACAATGTGTTGGTTGACCTCTTATGGTCTCCTAGGAAAAATGTTTTAGAACATATTATTTTTCAAACTTTAATTGCTATTGGTGTTGATAAAGATTTATTACTCTATTATAAAATATAAAATTTAATGAAATTGTAATCATAATATTTGTTAGGTTAACATTAGGAAATCACTTAACTATCATTCATTTATTGAAATACTCGAATGAACAAACCAATTTTATTTGCAAGAGTCTAATGTTTATAGTTTCTATGATGATTTGAATTATGATGTTGGATATGTAGGATGCATGACTATCCTTAATGTCTTCAAATTTGGCTGATTGTTGATTGTCCAATATATTTTTGTTGAATAAAATGTTTAAAGATTAACTCATCAAGTTTGGAGGGTAATACAAAAGATCTTCAACTTGATAATCTACTGAAGTTATTTTCTGATGTTCTTCTTGCATTCACTTTTCAGTTCACGAGAAGACTTGTGAGCACGATGTTAATGTTTAATATGATTTTGATTTTGATCAATTAAGTTACTCTGATGATGAATATTTATCAACCTTTATCTCCAGGAAGCGGCAAGCTATTTCCCAATTGCAAAAGGATGCTACTTTGAGACTAATTCTCGTTGTATCAGAAACTATATCATTTCAGTATTCAAAACAAAGATTCACTCTTATCACTACAAAATTACTCTTTTCATGAATAAACAAATTTCCTTACTGATGAATTTAAA